TCATCGCCGTCAACAAGGCCGGCAACTCCGACCCCTCGGACGCCTCGCAGCCCGTGGTGTGCAAGGCCCGCTTCGAGAAGCCCGCCATCGACACCAAGGACCTGGGCGACCTGGTCCTCAAGGTCAACACGCGCCTCAACTACACCGTGCCCATCCGCGGCGCCCCCAGGCCCAAGGTGTCCTGGAGCGTCGACGGAAAGGTTCTGGAGGAGTCCGAGCGCGTCGACATGCAGACCTACGGCAAGCAGACCATCCTGGACATTGCCTTCGCTCAGCGCACAGACAGCGGTCGCTACACCCTGACCCTGGAGAACGAACTGGGCAAGGTGTCCGCCTCGGGCACCGTCATCGTGCTCGACAAGCCCGCTCGCCCCGAGGGCCCTCTGATCGTGTCCGACGTGACCCGCGAGAGCTGCAAGGTCTCGTTCAAGCCCCCGCTCGACGACGGCGGCTCGCCCATCCTCCACTACCTGGTGGAGAAGATGGACGTGTCCCGCGGCACCTGGACGGAGGCTGCCGAGGTGTCTGGCCTTCAGGCTGATGTCCACGGCCTCGTGCACATGAAGGAATACCACTTCCGCGTCAAGGCTGTCAATACCATCGGCGAGTCTGAGCCTCTTTGCACTGACAAGAGCATCATTGCAAAGAACGCTCAAGGTAAGATTTCTTTATTATTATTATTTATTTGTTTGTTTAGAATGACTTTTCTTTGAAAGAATAACCATCACCATATAGTCTCACATGCAGCCAATGCGCTTTATTTACTGTCTCGCTGTGTTCGCCAGACGAGCCCAGCCCGCCCGGCCGCCCCAACGTGGTCGACTGGGACAGGGACCACGTCGACCTGGAATGGACTCCGCCCAGCAACGACGGCGGCGCTCCCATTACCGGATACATCATCCAGAAGAAGGAGCGCGGATCGCCTTACTGGCAGACGGCAGCGCGCCTGAGTGGACCCGAGACCAAGGGCACCGTGCCCAACCTGACGGAGGGACAGGAATACGAATTCCGTGTCATCGCCGTCAACAAGGTCGGCAACTCTGAGCCCTCTGAGCCTTCAGACTCCGTCATCTGCAAGCCTAGGCATCGTAAGTCCTTTGAAATTGCTCCATAAAAACAACATACAAATGTTGATTCCATTTTGCTAAAAAAAATAATAATAATAATAAAAAATGGCGTTTTTGCACTGCATAAAGGGTATCCATAATTCTTTTCTGACCGCAATATCTCCCCCCAGTGGCGCCCAAGATCCTCGGCCCGCTCTACGACGTGCGCATCAAGGCCGGCCAGGTCCTCCACATCGACGTGGACTACATCGGCGAGCCCTCGCCCGACGTCTTCTGGTTCAATGATGACAGGGAAATCAACTCCGATATCAGGACGACCATCACCGCCATCAACAACCACAGCGTCCTGCACTCCGTCAACACCGTCCGAGCGGACTCCGGCGAGTACCGCATCCGCGTCAAGAACGAGAGCGGCCAGGACGAAGCCACCATCAATGTGGTCGTCATGGACACGCCAGGACCTCCCGAAGGACCCCTGGTGTATGAGGAAGTCCAGGCCAACAGCGTCGTCATGTCATGGAAGCCTCCTCTTGACAATGGTGGAAGCCCTATCACGTGAGTGTTTGGGGAGAGTAAGGGAGGCAGAGAATGAGTAAGCAATAAGAAAGAGAAAGGGAGATTATAAAAGACAGATAGACCGATAGACATACAGATAGACATACAAATAGAGAAAGACACAGATAGTCAGACAGATAGACAGATAGTGACAGAGATAGAGTGACAGACAGAGAAAGACAGACATACAAGTAGGAATTGAGAGAGACAGATGAGGTTGAGAGTAAGAGAGGCGGACAGAGACTTAGTGTGCATGTGTGTGCGTGTGTATAATCTTAAATACAGTGATTATGAGAATGTTGTTTATACCTTATGTTTTTTCCCTCTGTGTACCACGTAATCTCATCCACAATTCTCGTCACAGTGGCTATGTGATCGAGAAGCGCGACCTCGACCACGGCGGCGGATGGGTCCCTGCCGTGAGCTGGGTTGACCCCAAGAACACCCACGCCACCGTGCCGCGCCTCCTGGAGGGCACCACCTACGAGTTCCGTGTCATGGCGGAGAACATGCAGGGCCGCGGCGAACCTCTGACAAGCGACAAGCCTGTCACTGCCAAGGCTTCTGCTGGTGAGACTCATTTCCGCGCCAAATTTATTCTGCGCTTGCTTACCTGTTGCAAACATGATGATATTATAAATTCTGCCTTGAATCGGATGAGGGTCTGGATCAACCAGCTGAAAAATCCCTCCACATTAGTGCTTAGTTCGCCTCCGTGCACCCCTGACCCTTTCTTCCTCCTTGCCATCCCGCAGACGTTCCCGGCCGTCCCGGACGCCCCAACTGCGTGGACTCCGACAAGGACTTCATCAAGATCAACTGGACTCCTCCGCGCTCCACCGGCGGCTCCCCCATCACCGGCTACGACGTCGAGCGCTGCAGCATCCACGCAGGCCGCTGGAAGAAGGTCAGCCGCGACAACGTGCGCGGGACGGAGTTCCTCGACGAGACGGTCAACGAGGGCGAGCAGTACCAGTACCGCGTCATCGCCAACAACAAGATGGGAGCGTCCATGCCCTCCGAGCCCTCGCACCCCATCGCCGCCAAGCCCATGCGCGGTACGTGGCTCTTCGTCAGGGCGGGCATTTGTTTATCTTTGATATACCTGCTGATCTTTGTTTAGCTGGCTGTATTGTAGAAGTTTCTGTTTATGAGATGTCTATTTATGTAGGTATGAATATAGATACACATGTCTTTTTGAATACACATCCATTTCCGTGTGTTTATTTACTTGTGCGCCTTTGTGATGAGCACGACAACGCCCCCATCCCGTTCACTGTCTGACTGCCCCTTCGTCTCCCCCACAGAGGCGCCCAAGCTGTACCTGGACGGCCTGCTGGGCAAGAAGCTCAAGGTGCGCGCCGGCGAGCCCATCGACATCAAGATCCCGATGTCAGGCGCCCCGCAGCCCTCGTGCGAATGGGCCAAGAACAAGAAGAAGATCGAGCCCAGCAAGAGGACCACGGTGAGTGAGGGGCGAAGGGGGGCAGGGGAGAGTTAAAGCAGAGAAAAGGCGGGAGGACAGGGGAAGAGGTTAAAGCAGAGAAAAGGCGGGAGGACAGGGGAAGAGGTTAAAGCAGAGAAAAAGCGGGATGATAGGAGCGATAGATTAAGAAACGTGTGATTTAGAAAGTATGAACAAAATACAGGTTATATTGACCAAAACAGAATATCATCAATAATATATTTCGATTCCATGAATCAAAACCGGGATAAAGAGAGCTAACGCTTTTCCTCCTCCGCCAGCTGGAGACCACGAACGACTACTGCCGTCTGTTCGTGGACAAGTCCCGACGCGAGGACTCCGGCCCCTACACCATCACGGCCGAAAACGCCTACGGCAAGGACTCGGCCGACATCGAGGTGAGTGCCCGCCGCCCGAACACTTTGATGGCGAATTAGTATACTTAGTATATCAATGAGTATATTGATGGGATCTTTTTCCCTTTTTATTCTGCAATGTGCTTGTGGTTATTGTGAATCACGGAAAGAACTGTTTCGAGGCCGAGGTCCGCGTTGTGACCCTAACATGCACTGCGAAATTTCCCCCCGCAGGTCATCGTCGTGGACAAGCCCAGTCCTCCCATCGGGCCCCTCACGCCCACGGAGATCACCGCCCACACCGTGTCCCTCACCTGGAAGCCCCCGCAGGATAACGGCGGCTCTGAGGTCACCGGATACGTCATTGAGAAGACCGAAGCCAACTACAACATGTGGAAGGTTGTGCCCGGGTACTGCCCCAAGTGCAACTTCACGGTCAAGGTGAGTGCCCTTGGAATGGGTCTGAATACACGCACACATGCACACGCGCGCACGCACACGCACACGCACACAGACATATATTTGTGTGTGTGTGTGTGTGTGTTTCGTTAAGTTAGGGCAGGTTAAATACAGCTGTCGTTTTCCATTTATTCAGATTAAATGTGACAAGTTTCAACTTGCAAAAAATAGAGAAAAAAATGCTACATGATAACCTCCAAAATATATAAAAATACGAAAATAATAATTACAAACATCCTATCATTCAATATACATTCAATACAATGAAATCGATTTGCATACCTTTGTAAAGATCCATAAGAGCAGTTTGGATGCAACCAAATCTTCAAAAGAAAATCAGAAATTCCAAAAATCCCCGCCAACACAACACGATGCACCAACGTGACAAATTTCCGCAGGACTGACTAAATCACAGCTGCGTATCCGATTACTATGTCTTCCATACAAATGATCAAGCCTTATATACACGTTCACTGATATTAATTACAGAAAATGTTATAACTCAAAATTTAAAGAAAATAAATTCACCCAAAATTTCTTAATTAAGGCTTATTGCTGAACTTGACAAAAAATGTAAACAATGCAAATCGGAAATATCATAGCCATAACACCAAGTGGCCGTCATATATGCCCCCACGAAATACAGGAATTATAATATATACAACATTACACATTTCAGAATTATTTACAAATACAAAATACATTAATTTGTTACACCATATACATGATCACAAAAGTATACCATTCAAATACATTAGCAATATAATATGTATGTACGTATATGTATATGTATATATATATATATATATATATATATATATATATATATATATATATATATATATATATATATATATATATATATGTATATGTATTGTATATGATATCCATGCATACATAAGCACACACACCGCGTGTATGCGGGCATTCCTGTTTTCTTTTTTCTCTCTGTGATTGTGTATCTGCAAATGATAGATTTTTTTCCAACTGTCACGACCAAATGAGCAACCCCCCCCCCCCTCCCTCAGGGCCTGGAGGAGGGCAAGAAGTACCGGTTCCGCGTTCGCGCCGAGAACATGTACGGCGTGTCGGAGCCTCTGGAGGGCAAGCCGGTGGAGGCCAAGAACCCCTTCGACCCTCCGGACGCGCCCGAGCGCCCCGACATCCTCGGCTACAGCCCGTCCACCTGCACCCTCGAGTGGAAGCCGCCCGCGGACAACGGTGGGCGTCCCGTTACCGGCTACATCATCGAGAAGCGCGAGCGCGGTGGCGAATGGATAAGGGTGAGTCGTGTGGATTCTTGGTCTGAACTCGGGAAGGAAGCCATTGCGTTTGCGGTTTCCGCCCGCAAAAGCCGTCCCTGTGTTTTCATAAAGTACTGGCAAATTGAAACAGCAAATCCTAACTCAGTCGCTCTCGCCGCCAGGTGAACCACTACCCGACGCCCAACACGGAGTACACCGTGCAGGGCCTGACGGAGGGAAGCCGCTACGACTTCCGCATCATCGCCGTCAACGAGGCCGGCCCCGGCAAGCCCAGCAAGCCTTCCAACTCCATCGTTGCGAAGGTTCAGAAGTGTAAGTCCTCCTTCTTTGCTGTTTTTTTTTTTTTTTCTTCTTTCTTTCCTGGACAGTCGTTACGTATGCATTTGGTTGACATATGTTAGATATGCATAGACTCTACCGTCGTGTTGCTCGTCCCCAGACCTGCCCGGGCCGCCCGACGCGCCCAAGCCGGACCGCATCGGCCGCAACTGCGTGACCCTGTCGTGGCGTCCGCCCAGCCAGGACGGCGGCTCCAAGATCAGGGGCTACCTGCTCGAGTACAAGAAGAAGGACGAGGAGGAATGGACTCAGGACAACAACCTGCCTCACCCCGACACCAATTACACTGTGCTCAACCTGACGGAGCTGCAGGAGTACGTGTTCCGCGTGATCGCCGTCAACGACGTGGGTAACTCGGCCCCGTCGCGCCCGTCCGCGCCCATCAAGATCGAGGAGCAGGCCAACAAGCCTCGCATCGATCTCAGCGGCATCCGCGACATCACGGTGCGCGCCGGCGAGGACTTCTCCATCCACGTGCCGTACACCGGCTTCCCGAAGCCGACGTCCATCTGGTACCACGACGACGAGGAGATGAGCATCGAGGGTGACACGCGCATCCACGAGAAGCTCACCGATGACTACTGCGCCATGATCGTCACCAACTCGAAGCGCACGGACAGCGGGCCGTACAAGCTGCGCCTCCAGAACCCGTCCGGATTCGACTCCGTGAACGTGAACGTGCGCGTCCTGGACCGGCCAGCGCCGCCCGAGAACCTCCGCGCCGACGAGTTCAACGGCGACGCCCTCACCCTCTTCTGGAACCCTCCCAAGGACAACGGCGGAGGAGAGATCACCAACTATGTGGTGGAGAAGCGCGAGGGCCGCGGCAACTGGGTCAAGGTCAGCAGCTACGTGACTGCGCCCTTCCTCCGCATCCGCAACCTCACGGTCAACCAGGACTACGAGTTCCGCGTCATGGCCGAGAACCAGTACGGCACCTCCGACCCCTGCACCTCGCCCACGCCCATCAAGGCCAGGCATCCATTCGGTAAGACGCGCCTCCAACGCAGACCAATATTGCTGTCGTCTGATCACAAAACAACGCGCAGACGTGTCCCTGCAATCTCACCCATCACGCCTTCCTTTTCCAGATCCCCCGGGCGCCCCAGGAGCTCCCCGCGGCCTCGAGTCCACCGAAGACTCGATCACCATCAGCTGGATCAAGCCTCGCCACGACGGCGGCGCCTACATCCAGGGCTACAACGTGGAGAAGCGCGTCGTGGGCGAGAGCATCTGGAGCAAGGCCAACCACGCCCTCATCAAGGACACCACGTACCGCGTGATCAACCTCGTCGAGCACCAGGAGTACGAGTTCCGCGCCGCCGCCGTCAACGCCGCCGGCCAAGGCCCCTGGAGCGACCCCAGCGAGAACATCAAGTGCATCAGCTTCCGTAAGTTCATTGCGCCTCCCGCCCATATATAGACATAATATATATATGTATGTATGTATGTATATATGTATATATATATATATATATAATATATATATATATATATATATATATATATATATATATATATATGTTTGTGTGTATGTGTAACTAGAGATAAGTAAATAAATAAACAGATTGATAGATAAATGGATATGATCATATATATATATATATATATATATATATATATATATATATATATATATATATGTGTGTGTGTGTGTGTGTGTGTGTGTGTGTGTGTGTGTGTGTGTGTGTGTGTGTGTGTGTATATATATATATATATATAATATATATATATATGTGTGTGTGTGTGTGTGTGTGTGTGTGTGTGTGTGTGTGTGTGTGTATATATATATATATATATATATATATATATATATATATATATATATATATATATATATATGTGTGTGTGTGTGTGTGTGTGTGTGTGTGTGTGTGTGTGTGTGTGTGTGTGTGTGTGTGTGTGTGTGTGTGTGTGGTGTGTGTGTGTGTGTGTGTGTGTGTGTGTGTGTGTGTATGTACGTGTGTGTGGGTGTGGGTGTGTGTATGTATGTATATATGTATATATAGATAGATTGATAGATAGATAAATAAATATACAGAGAGAGGGGGGGGGAGACAGAGAGAGAGAGAGAGAGAGAGAGAGAGAGAGAGAGAGAGAGAGAGAGAGAGAGAGGGAAAGAGAGAAAGAGGGGGGGAGACATCAATTTTGTGTCTCCTGGTCGACTGGGTGTTGCGAAAACCTAGCTTGCAACGCAGTTCAAACGACCACACTTTATGAATACCCAAGACTCTGCGCCTTACGTGGCTTGTCTCCCCTTCCAGGTGCTCCTAAGATCACCTCTGACCTCAGCATCCGTGACATGACCGTCATTGCCGGCGAGGAGTTCACGATCACCGTGCCGTTCATCGCCTCGCCGCAGCCGAAGGTGCAGTGGTGGATCGGCCCCAACGAGGTCATTCCCGACGAGCGGATCCAATTCCAGATGGACACAGGTTCCTCGTCCACCATCTTCGTGAACAAGAGTGCCAAGCGCAGTGACATCGGCAAGTACACTGTGAAGCTGACCAACACCGAGGGCGCTGACTCCGGCTCCTGCAAGGTTAACGTGGTGGACAGGCCGTCGCCTCCTCAGGGTCCTCTCGAGGTCTCGGACATCACGCCGGACACCTGCTCCCTGGCCTGGCGTCCTCCCATGGACGACGGCGGCTCGCCCGTCACCAATTACCAGGTGGAGCGCCTCGACATGCACACGGGCATTTGGGTCAAGGTCTCGGCCTTCGTCCGCAACTGCCATTACGATGTGATGGGACTGGAGCCGAACAGGCAGTACATGTTCCGCATCCGCGCGGAGAACCAGTACGGCCTCTCCGATCCCCTGGAGACCACGGACCCCATCACGGCCAAGTTCCCCTTCACTGTTCCGGATCCTCCTGGCCGCCCCAACATTCTGGATCACGATGTCAACTCTGCCGTGCTGACCTGGGATCGCCCGACCTCCGACGGCGGCGCCAAGATCCAGGGCTACAAGGTGGAGTACCGCGATGTCACGGACACCAACTGGTCCGCAGCCAACGACTTCCTGGTTAAGGAGAACACTTACACTGTGCACTCTCTCCTGGTCAACCACGAGTACGAGTTCCGCGTGAAGGCCATGAATGCCGCAGGGTACAGCAAGTACTCGCCGCCAAGCAAGAAGATCAAGATGAAGGGCAAGTACTCCGTCCCATCGCCACCAGGCACTCCTGTGGTCACCAAGATCGGCAAGAACTACGTGGATCTCACCTGGACCGTGCCGGAGAGCGACGGAGGATCGCGCATCACTGGCTACATGATCGAGAAGCGCGAGGTCGGCAGCATCTGGATGAAGTGCAACGACTACAATGTGGTCGACACTCAGTACACCGTCACCAACCTCACCGAAGGCAGCGACGTCGAATTCCGCGTCTACGCCATCAACGCTGCAGGCAAGTCCGACCCGTCCCAGAGCGGCCCGCCCGTCAAGATCCGCGAGGCAGCTCCCGGAGAGAAGCCGTTCTTCATCAAGAACCTGCACAACACCGCCGTCGCCTTGCACAAGTCTATCACCCTGGAGTGCGAGGCCGAGGGCAAGCCGACGCCAAAGGCCCGCTGGCTGAGGAACGGACGCGAGGTCACCCTCGGAGGCCGCATCAGCGCCGAGGACAAGGACGGCAAGTTCAGGCTCATCATCTCCGACATGTGGGAGGTTGACGAGGGCGACTACGCCTGTGTGGCCGCCAACGACGCCGGCCAAGCCACCACCATCGCCCACGTCAAGATCGGCAACCCGCCGCGCATCACGCAGATGCACGACTCGCTGTACCTTCCTGAGGGAGACAACACCAAGATCAAGATCTACTTCAGCGGAGATCTGCCTTTGGATGTCAGTCTCAGCCACAACGGCGAGCCCGTGCAGGAGTCGCAGCGCCTCAAGTTCACTGTCTTTGATGAGTTTATCATCATCTTCATCAGGGAAGTGGTCAAGGAGGATGCAGGTCAGTACACACTCACAGTCAAGAATGACTCTGGTATTGTTCAGGGCAACTTCACTGTGTACATCACTGGCGTGCCTGGCGCTCCATCTGCTCCTCTGGACGTCACTGACATCAGCCGCCACATGTGCAGCCTGTCATGGCGCCCACCGGTCTACGACGGCGGCCTGCCCATCACGCACTACGTGGTTGAGCGCAAGGACATCACGTACAACAACTGGATCACGATCAACTCCTTCTGCAGAGAGTGCGCCTTCACCGTGCAGGGTCTCACTGAGGGCCAGGAGTACCTGTTCCGCGTCATGGCCGTCAACGAGAACGGCATGGGCCCGCCCCTGACGGGTGTCAATCCCATCAAGGCCAAGGCGCCCTACGACCCGCCCTCGCCTCCCGGCACGCCCAACGTCACGGAGGTGGGCGGCGACTTCGTGCACCTGGAATGGGACAAGCCCGAGCACGACGGCGGCTCCCGCATCAAGGGCTACTGGATCGAGAAGCGCGAGGTCGGCTCCAACATCTGGACGATGGTCAACCAGTACATCTGCCCCGCCACGCAGGTCAACGTGTCCAACCTCATCGAGGACAGGCAGTACGAGTTCCGCGTCTTCGCCGAGAACGAGGCCGGCATGTCCGAGCCCTCCGTGTGTTCCACCTCCGTCAGGATCAAGGATCCCAACGCGGCCACTCCGCCCGTCATCGTTACTCCTCTGCGTTCTGTCATGGCTCTGCAGCACAGGAGCGCCACGCTCACCTGCCAGATCCAGGGTAAGCCCAAGCCGACCATCTCGTGGTTCAAGGGCATGCGAGAGCTGTGCAACAGTGCTAAGTATGCCATGACCCGCGACGGCGACAGCTACTCCCTGACCGTGCACGACGTGTACGGCGAGGACGAGGACGAGTACATGTGCCGCGCCCAGAACGTCGGTGGCATCAGGAGCACCAAGGCTGAAGTCACCATCAAACGTAAGTCAGCTTGCTGTGTATCAGTCCATTATCCATTGTTGCTAGGAATGTTTGACATGCGTATGGTAGTCTCATGATAATAATCCCAAACGGTCTTTAAAGCCTGCTCCCAGTCGGACCTAACCGGCCTTTCTCCCCCGCAGTGGCGCCCAAGATCAACGTGCCGCCCAGGTTCCGCGACACCGCCTTCTTCGACAAGGGCGAGAACGCCGTCATCAAGATTCCGTTCATCGGCAACCCGCGCCCGAGGATCATGTGGCAGCGCGAGGGCGAGACCATCGAGTCGGGCGGCCACTACGCCGTCGAGACGCAGCAGCGCCACGCCATCCTCACCATGCGCGACGTCAACCACCTGGACACCGGCAGCTACCGCCTCACCGCCGAGAACGAGCTCGGATCCGACTCCGTCATCATCAAGATCCAGATCTCCGGTGCGTCCCTGGCGTGGAAGGGCTTAGCTCACACGCGATGGAACACACACAAAATACTCACACACACACACACGCACACACATACAAAAACACACATGCAGACACACACACGCACACACACACACACACACACACACACACACACACACACACACACACACACACACACACACACACACACACACACTCGCAGTCATGCATATACACACATACGCATGCATATATTAATGTGTATATGTACCTATATTTACGTGTATATATGTATATTAGTTGTCTGTTGATTAGTTGTTAACCCGGCCATGCCTCCCTCGCCAGACCGCCCCGACCCGCCGCGCATGCCCAAGGTGGAGAGCGTGCTGGGCACCGAGTGCGTGATCAGCTGGCAGATCCCCCTGTGGGACGGCGGCGCCAACATCAACAACTACATCATCGAGAAGCGCGAGCTGCCCATGGAGTCGTGGATCAAGTGCACCAACACGCGCCTCACCACGGCGCAGGTCAAGGGCCTGAGCCCCGGCCACAAGTACCAGTTCCGCATCTACGCCGAGAACGTGTACGGCCGCTCCGACCCGTCCGCCGTCACCAGCATCGTGGAGACGCCCGCGCCCGTGTCCAAGAAGCCCAAGAAGAAGCAGTACGAGCTCGACGAGACCGGCAAGAAGATCCGCGGCAGGAAGGAGGTCGTCGACGACTACGACAAGTTCGTGTTCGACGTGTACTCCAAGTACATCCCCCAGCCCGTGGACATCAAGCACGACTCCGTCTACGAGTACTACGACATCCTGGAGGAGATCGGCACCGGCGCGTTCGGCGTGGTCCACAGGTGCCGCGAGCGCAAGACAGGAAACATCTTCGCCGCCAAGTTCATCCCCGTCGCCTCGGCCATGGAGAAGGAGCTCATCCGAAAGGAGATCGACATCATGAACCACCTCCACCACCACAAGCTCATCAACCTCCACGACGCTTTCGAGGACGATGACGAGATGGTCCTCATCTTCGAGTTGTGAGTAGCGGGTCTGCGGGGGGCAGCCCGGGGCGAGTGAACTCTGTGATTTATAAATTTGTGAATTTATTCATTCTCTCTCTCTCTCTCTCTCTCTCTCTCTCTCTCTCTCTCTCTCTCTCTCTCTCTCTCTCTCTCTCTCTCTCTCTCTCTCTCTCTCTCTCTCTCTCCACCCCCGCCGTCATCCTCCTCCTCTAACCGTGCCCTCGTTTCCCGCAGCCTGTCCGGAGGCGAGCTGTTCGAGCGCATCACCGCCGAGGGCTACGTCATGTCCGAGGCCGAGGTCATCAACTACATGCGCCAGATCTGCGAGGGCGTCAAGCACATGCACGAGAAGAACATCATCCATCTTGGTGAGTGAAGGTCATTCGGGCTAATCCGTGTCGGCCGGGGTCAGACCAGGTCACAGGTTGGAGAGGGCGGTACCCATGGTTCTCTTAATGAAGGATGGAGCTGCGCGTAGTTTAATGATGGTGCTATTAGCTGTCCGTGGGAACTTCTGTGATGTACACATGAGACTTGTGGCTTCCCTGCTGCACATCCCACGCCCGTGCTGCAGACTAGGAGGCTGTTGCATCACGGAGTTTTCTATGCTATATTCCATGTCTCTTTTCCTTTCGCTGTCTAGCCTGAAAAAAGTAAACAACTTCAGAATCTCAAAAGTCTTATGTAGTACCGACATTTCTCTTATTGTAGAAGTTAAGATATGCTCAAAAGTATTATTTTCTCTATAAGAAATATGTATATCGCCACAGACTGTATAAATACTATGATTCATGCAACGATAAACGCCAGTAGTATTTGATACTACAGAAGTGGAGTTGAGTGCCATAACAGCATCTATGAGGCTTCGAGCTTGCGAGACCCACGCGTTAGGTCAGCGGCGATACCTGGTGGGAAGCAAGGGTAGTGAGACGGATATTTGCGAACAGAGATAGAAGAAAAAGAATAGCAAGGGAAGACCTCCTTCTGGGGGTTATGATGCCCCAGATGTTGCTAGGTGGATGTCTCCATAGTGGTGCATTTCCGATGTCTCTCTCTCTCTCTCTCTCTCTCTCTCTCTCTCTCTCTCTCTCTCTCTCTCTCTCTCTCTCTCTCTCTCTCTCTCTCTCTCTCTCTCTCTCCCCTCCCTCCCTCCTCTCTCCGTTTCCCTGAATCGTTATCGTTTTCTCCCCGTTTCTCTCTTTTTGCATCTCTCTCTTTCTCTTTCTTCCTCCCTCCCTCACCTGAATTCTGAATGTCTCACGTGACCGCTGCTTTGGTGGACTCCACACCCCGCCCCAGGAACCGTGAGAATGGCATCCACGCCCCCAACACAACGACTAATGAACTCCTTGTGTTGTCGTCCAAGTGACATTGCGTCATTCTGTCCCCCTTCAGTGTTGTCGCGGTCGTCCACAGCTCAGAGTGACCGTCTTGTAGTTCATTATAGCCATTATTAATGTCTATGTCACTCTCTTCTTGATTATTGGCTTTACTCTCTCTTTTTCTCTTTACATTCGGCTATTTTTTCTCTCTCTCTTTCTCTTTATTCTCATTTTTTATCCAGTTCTCCGATGTATCTCGTTGAAAATCTGAGTGTTATTTAAAGACCGTACCCTGGCTGTTCTTACTGTAAAGGCAGTGCATGTATTACGCTGCCTGTACAATAAAGGCCTTAAATCGCATCCTACTTTTTATGCAGTGTACAATCAGACCTCTGTCGGTTGCCAACTTTTTAATTTGCCTCTTTTTTACATGTGCATGTTGATTCTTTTTTTTTTTTTTTTCTTATTATCATTATATTTCCCCCTTTTGACTCTTTACCACAGACTGATTCCATTTTTTTGGGGGGGTCTAGAAGGAAGGTCTCCCTTAACATGAGTCCTTAGTTTGAACCCAAGGCGAGGATATGCCTCTCTATTCGCTTCTGTTGCTGCAGCTGTCTTGGCTAAATTCCTGAAGCGTCCTCTCCCTTCTCTCTCTCTCTCTTTCTTTTTTTCTATCTATCTATCTTTCTTTCATTCTTTTTCTCTCTTTCTCTCTCTTTCTTTCTTTCTTTCTTTCTTTCTCTCTCTCTCTCTCTCTCTCTCTCTCTCTCTCTCTCTCTCTCTCTCTCTCTCTCTCTCTCTCTCTCTCTCTCTCCTCTCTCTCTCTCTCTCTCCTCTCCCTCTCTCTCTCCCCTCCCTCCCTCTCTCCCTCTCTCCCTCTCTCCCTCCCTCCTCTTCCTCTTCCTCTTCCTCTTCCTCCTCCTCCTCCTCCTCCTCCCTCTCCTCCTCTCCTCCTCTCCTCCTCCTCCTCCTCCTCCTCCTCCTTCCTCTCCTCCTCCTCCTCTCTCTCTCTCCCTTTCTCTTTTTCTTATTTTCTCTCCTACTCCCTTGGGTTGGTTGACCCCATCCTTAATGTGTAATATCACCTTCTTGAAATAATTTTCCTTAAGCAATACATTTAGCTTTCACTCTCCTTATGTGCCACTTTTCCCACGCAATTGACAGATCCCTCCCTCACGCAACTGATCTTCCCCTTTGCAACGCACTTTTCCCTTTGCAACGCACTCTCCCCTTTGCAACACACTCTTCCCCGTATGCATATCCACTGTCCTGTCGCCACACACCCACTACTCGCCATCGTAGCTTAGGCTTTTCTCCATTATCTTTACACTCCAGACCATAGCCAATGTGGTAGCGCTGTGTGTGTGTGTTTGTGTGTAGGCCTAAGATACTGGCAGTTGGCAGCCTGAGGATGATGCCCGTATTTAAAGGCTTTATCGTTCTCCCTCCAGGCATCAGGCCCGAGAAAATCATGTTCGATAGGAAAATCCATAATGACGATGAACCCTTTTGGCAAGGTTCGTAATGATGCTTATATACAGATTCTTCCTGCCATTGTGAACTCGTTACTTCTTTCTTTCTTTTTTTTATCTGACTCTCACGACTGGTTCGTAGTGAAGCGTCTTGTGGATTCTTTGAGTAACCCCCTTTGAACCCTGACCAACCCTCAGCTCCGGGCAGTCCCACAGTAACCCACGCACGCAGGCCGGGCGGACGTCCTCGCAAGTTGCTCTAGAGATTCAAGCCGATTTCTTTCTGCTTTTTTCAAAGAAATTATTTTAAAAATACGTTCTATCTTTAGCCACACTATATTTTCCCTTATTATTTTGCCCTTTGGTGTCAGTCTGAAGCAACTTGGTGATGTCAGCGCAGCCGTGATTTCTTGTGCATAGCAGACTAACCTGTAGCTCTGGAAGTAATGGTATGCCTAGAATGACCGGGGTAGCGACGTACTACACATCTGTTTCAATGTGTACCGGGTGGTCCTCCTAGAACACCCACTGTTATGCCCAGTATCACCAACACGCTGAGAATCTTCTCCTTTCTCTCTCTCTCACTCTGTCTAGCTTTCCTATTTCTTCGCTTTCTCTCTTGTCACTGTCACTTCTTAGAGTGTAGAGAATAGATATACCTGGGAAATACCAGTCCGAGACACCCATGTAGCATGCTCGTAACTGAAGGACACTGGACGCCTCACTCACGTCCTTGCGTAGTTTTCTGATGCTAAAATACCGTATTTCCCTTCCGCATAAACAACAACAATCTGCATCCCATGATGACAACCACTAAAACAGATTTTGGAATAAGGTTTATGCTTCCTCCAACATATACAATAAAGTTGTGCGCCAATGAAAACCACTAAAGACAGTCATTGGAATAATGGCTGTGTCCCCACCACAAACAGATCTGCACTCAAAGGAAAACCACTAATACAAGCTTCGGAATAGTGCCTTTTGAGTAAGTTTACTCAACACAAGCTCACCCACGGCTTCAGCTTTCCTCTACACACCTACTACCCAAGAGCACGCCATATTTGTTTAGGTTTTCACACGTAGACATTGCACCGTTTGCGCCTTACACATAACCCACGTTAACATTAGTCCTCCCGACCTTACATTCACAACGATTACGAAAAACTCCATTGCTACTTCGAGAGCAATCTTGGTATAACCTCTGGACTCTGACACAGCCTTTGACCTCCATGTGACCCCTCTTGACCCCTTCCTCCTCCTTTAGTGTAACTCTCTCGACTGTAGCGGAACCCTTGACTCTGGTGGGTTCTTCGACGACTCAGGTGAAGCCTTTGAAACCTTCCGACCTTGGTATAACTCTCGACCTCAGTTCACTCCTCGATCTGGTGTCCATCTCGACCTCTAGTGAAACCTTTTAGTGAAATCTTAGCGCCACCCTCAACCTAGGTTCAACCCCCCTTCCTCACTATAACCTTTGACCTTTGGTTAACCCCGCCGCGAGGTCGACTTCCCGAGCTATTCTTAGTCGCTGCGATTCCTGGAGAACCGAGGGTTAATTTATCAAGAAAGCATTTTATTCTGCCTGTTTGCTTTTTCAATAGAATTTAGAACTATCTATAGAGAGACATAGACTGTTGTAGATATGGCATATATGTGATGAAACACATCATATGACAATTTTCAATATACAGTAAAGCCATGATGGCGGTAAATGGCACAGCAGGAATTTTCATCACAAAAACTATCGACAATCACGAAAATTTAAACCGTCAATGAATTCAATGTGATACTGACGTAGAGAGCAGCCGGCGGAGCCCACAACGGCCGCGCCCTCACCCGCCCCCTTGTCTCCCGCAGACGTCAAGCCCGAGAACATCATGTGCCAGACCAGGACGTCGACCAACGTCAAGCTGATCGACTTCGGCCTGGCCACCAAGCTGGACCCCAACGAGGTCGTCAAGATCTCGACGGGCACGGCGGAGTTCGCGGCGCCTGAGATCGTGGAGCGCGAGCCCGTCGGCTTCTACACCGACATGTGGGCCGTCGGCGTCCTCGCCTACGTGCTCCTCAGCGGCCTCTCGCCCTTCGCCGGAGAGAACGACATCGAGACCCTCAAGAACGTCAAGGCCTGCGACTGGGACTTCGACGAGGAAGCCTTCGCCAACGTGTCCAACGAGGCCAAGGACTTCATCCGCCGCCTCCTCGTCAAGAACAAGGAGTGAGTGCCTCTCTTTGCTCTGTCGTATGAGAAGTTTCGTTCGCGGAATTTCATAGTCCAGAATGGGCTCTGAATGTGTTCCTTTATCCTTCACTTCCTGTTACCCATACTTACGTCCTTATAATAGAAAACATTTTTGTTGACTCTTTTTTCTTTAAAAGATATAAATTTCCTCCGTGCAATATCAATATCATCGACAACAATCATACGAGTCTTACTTGCGCTCTGACACCACCAGCCTCACGCTAATCTATCCCCACGCCCACAGGAAACGGTTGACCGCCCACGAGTGTCTGATGCACGCCTGGTTGCGCGGAGACTACTCACCCCGCCTCGAGCCCATCGATATGATGCGTTACATTCCCATTCGTGATAAGATCCGCGCTAAGTACAAGGAGTGGGAGAAGTTCCTCCTGCCCATCGGTCGCCTGGCTGAGTACTCGTCTCTCAGAAAGCTGCAGCTTGAAAAGTACAGGATACATGACACGCACTTCGGTAAGTTCCGTCTGTCCACGAGCACTGATATTTTTGTCACGTTCTGTTCTTCGCTTGGCAATTTCCATTCAGCATACACTTCAAGAAAACCTGTAAGTCATAAGGCTGGCCATTTCTCAACCCCCGACGCTTCCTCCCCAAACCGCCTGG